GTGGGAGGGGAAGTGTTGGCCAGGTTGACTCTACAGCACTAAGTCCATTGCTAGAGGGATGGACCTGAGCTGTGGTGGCCAAGCTCCCAGTGGTCCATCATCCTCTGCCTGTCCCAGGGCCCCACAGATGGGAAACTGAGGCTCATGGAGACGTTCAACTTGATCAAGGGCACATAGCTAGGAATAGGCAGAGCAGGGACTGTACAGGGGCGTGACAACATCATTGTCCCACGCCTCCCTAAGGGGAAGTGGCCTGAGCATTCAGAATGCTCAAAAATGGACAGGAACGGGCCCTCAAATGTGGGCTGCATGCCATCTCAGACCCTCCCCTCTCAGACACAGCCCACACTATACATTAACACAGAGAAGCACAGGGACAGGCAGGGGCTTCCGCAGCCACCTAGCATCACAGCCAAAGTCCAGGGCTCCTGAGCTCCCCTCTGCCAGTAATGGAGAGGGGGAGGAAATGGGAGGAAGAGAGGGTACGAAAGGGGACCAAGGGGGGTGCTTGTGAGCTGCACATGACTGTGTGCAAGTTGCCCTACCCTGGGCCACCTTGATTCCCCATCTTGCAGTAGCCCTTCAGGCCCTAGTTGCTCTGTGGTATGGTCTCATGGGATGACGGCCTGACCTGAGCCAAGAGGGTCTGGTCAGAGAAGTCCATGGATTTCCCTCGGGGCTGTGCCAGAAGGTGAAGGGCAAATTTCTTGGTCCAGTGGAAAGAGATGATTAAGGTCTTTTAAAGTTAACTTTGTATTTTACCTTTATTCTAAATATGTGCCCAGTGTACCGCTACCTTAAAACTATATAGTTGGACATAACTCAAATGTTGGAGTATGCCATCCCTGCCTTTTGGACCTGTCTGAAGGGATTGTGACTTTGGTCATCTGGGTGCCTCCTGTTGTTACCAGCCATCTTCCAGGGATCCAGATCCTGAATGCCAAGTTACTTCTGCTCATGTGGTAGAGGGTTGGTCTGACTAGGGAGTTCTGGGGATCCCCATTTTCCTGAGATCACTTCAGTTCAGTCTCTGCTCTGCACCACTCCTTGGAACTGGTCCCATATGAATGAGTTCCTCCCAACCTCATGTTGTCCTGGCCACTTACGGCCCTGCTTTTGCCCCGTGGTGTCTCCTGAAAGTGAGTTATACCCTGAATACCTCTTAGGGCTGTGAGGAGGATCCAGGAAGACCCTGTGGTCTCCAGTCTAGCTGGATTGGAGCTGCTAATATGGCAGTAGCAGTTTTTGGAATAGTGCCTGAAACTGGGACCTACCTTGGGCTCTGGGGAGCAGGGTCTAAACTGCTCTGCCAGGTCACTTTCCCTCTGGCCAATCAACCTGGGCACTTCCAAGAGATCTGCTTTCTCCACAAACATTCTCTGCCCCTTCCCCACCTATTCACCTGCCTCCTGAAGGCTTAAAGCCAATATGAATCATTCTTTGGGCAGAACAGACCTGTACAGCCTTAAGAAAAAAGAGTTGTCGGAAAGGAGGTGACCTTTTATTCTTGCTGTTGCCATTGCTACCTTGGTCTCCCATAGTCCTCTCCCTGCAGGGTAGTTTTGGGAAACATGACACCTCTGCTCATCGGGGCTGTGCTTCTGCATCCATGAACCCCTCCTGTGGGGTTGTAGGGAATTAGATTCCAGCCTCTGGATTGCCTATTGTGGCTCTCCTAGCTGGCCATAACAGCCCTCTCCTAGGTCTCTCCCCTCCCCTGAGCTCTTCCAGTTCATTCTCCATATTACAGCCCCAGCCAGCTTCCAAAACACACTCTGGCCCTGGGCCTCCCCTGCTTAACCCCTCCCAAGTCCACCTCCACTTTGGGAGGGCCTGGACTCCACAGCCTAGTTCACAGGGCCTAAGGAAATCTCCCTGCTGGCTACCAGACTCATGGAGTCACCTGATCACCTGTCATACCTAGCCTGTCAGTCACAGTGTTAGCAGCCTCTTAGATGGACAGTCATTTGTGATTTCTGGGAACCCCATGCATGCTGTTTCCTCTGCCTGAAACTGCCTCTGCCAACCCCACCAGCTGTGAGCTTTAGTACTCTAAGACGTGGCCCCTTCTAGCCCCAGCTCCCCTTCACAATCTTGAGCAAGTATGGGTGTCCCCAGGGCATGGAGACTACATGTGTGTGTATTTAGGGGAGCAGTGTGGCCAGCCTAGATGCCTGTTACCTGGGTATTAATGTGTGGGGACCAGTCTGAGGACTTTAGGTAGCCCCCTTTTCCTCTTTGGGTGTCTGTTTCCTTCCTGGGGAACAGATGGCTGCCTGACCCACCTGGGACCACATAGACCTGCAGACTGAGCAGAACCCCACAACACACAGTGAGCTGAGCCAACTTTCCTTGTCAACATGGGGACACGGAGGCTCCTTGAAGGTGCAGCCTGGTGGCATTTTTGCTCATTCCCCCAACAGACTGACCCTGAGGGATCTGCCAAGAACAGACAGTGGCAGAGGGAGGGAGCAGCTAGCCTTAGACACACAGACTAATCCCCAGCCAGTTCAATGCTCAGCCCTGCTTCCCATTGTTGGCTCTTCTGATTGTGACTTTATCCCTCTTAATCTCCCCTACATACCCCTCTCTGGGCCACAGCTTCTGTTCTGGCCCATCTACCTCCATAAGACTCTGTTTCCTTTTGGTAAGGACCACAGCTGGGGATTTGCCAGGGAGCTGCTTCTGTCCTTACATACAGGGCAAACAGACCATGCTGGAAGCCTCAAGTAGAGTCCTACCCCATGTACCTGTGTCTCTGTCTACTATGTGCCAGGGCTGCAGGTATGGGCTGTAAGGCCCAGGGCCTGGCACATCTGGGGCCCTAGCAAGGCTCCAGTATCTGTGAGCAGACTCAGGGGTTGCCCTTTCTCTGTTGGGTGCCTCAGGGCAGGCAGGGACACTGGACTGAGCCTTGAACCCAGTAGCTGGGTCCCAGCTGCCTGGAAATGTGCCCCATTTGCTAGAGGAAGGGCCTGAGGCTTAGAGGCTGGGGCTTCCCAGGATCACACCCCCTTGGGGAGCTCTACTGTCACTGTGACTCCATAGAGAGCCCCAGCTCCCGCAGTTGTGGCCTCCTCCACCCTCAACCTTCTGTTTATGAAATTTCCCCAGCACCGTAAATCATGTCAAGAGCTGCTTTCTGTGCTTTCCAGCAGGCAGCAGCCCATTGAGTAGGGGATGTCCCTGTTCCTCTCACAATGGGAATCCTAGAGGCTGCAGTTAGGGCTCCCAGAAGTCCTTGACCCTGTACTATCAGTCAGGCCCAGAGAAGGGTAAGTTGAGTGGGTGGGGAGAGGCAAACTCTCAGGGCTGCTGAGCACAGCCCCCCACCCCTGCCTCCACCTCGGAGGCCTGAGACCTGTCCAGACCTCTCACAGAAAACCCAGGCCCTTCTCTTTCTGCAGAGGGATGGCCACTGGGCCCCCAAGCCTGTTAGAAGCTTCCAGGGCTCACCTTTCATGAAGGCTAGGGCATGGGGTGGGGTGGGGTGTGGCTAGAACAAAGGCAACTGAAGGGGCAGGGAGAAATGTCTGAATTGCATTCTAGCCCTTCGTCCTCCATCCCCTGTGTCACCTGGACAAGTGAGGACTCCTTGCACCTCAGTTGTCTCATCTGAAAAAAAGGGTTCATGTGAGATTCTTGAGGTCTTTCTAGGCCCTGGTCTCTGGTCCACACTAGTGCCTAGTCAGTAAGAGCTCTCCGTATAGCTGAATAACTGTGTCATTCAGCACACAGTTACTGTGTCACCTCTGCATGTCAGGCCTGGCTCTGGGCACTGGGGTTAAAAAATGCCATTCCTACCCCAGTCTTTACCCTCTGAGCACTGCAAGCCCGAGGAGACAACACATGAGCTCCCAGGTGAATTCAAAGTGCTTTGTAGCCTGAGGGAGGTCCGGTGTGGACAGGTCTGAATGTGGCATAGTTGAAAGGGTGGGGGGAGGCTGCCTCCATCCGCCTCAGTCAGCTCCTGTAGGTTAGGATACCCCAGGTTGGGCACAGAAGATACCTTTCCATCGATGGCACTTCCCATGGGCCCTGGGGTGGTGGCTTGGGAGAGGTGAATGTTAAGGACAGTGAGTAGCATGAGAAATGAGGCTTTTTAAAACATTTTAGACAATATTTTTTTCGGATTTCAAAGGCTTGCGTGCTTGCAAAACTTTTGGAAAGTATAAAGAAGTAAAAAAAACCACCCATAATTGCACCACTCAGATAGAACCAGTTAACATTTTGCTGTGTCTTCCAGGGTTTTTTTTATGCATTTATATATGTTATATATCTTTAAACAAAAATAGTATCATGCTATATACATTATTTTATAAGCTGCTTTTTTCCCTACTCACATAGTATGTCTCTCCTCATCAGTGCATATATGTCTGCCTTAATTTTTACACAGGCTGCATAGCATTCTCCACTGGACGTGCATATGTATTTAATCAGTCCCCCACAGGTGGACACTAAGGTTATTTTTGTTTTTCTCAAAGCCATTCTTGTAGCTCTGTATCTGCCTAGAACCTCACTGTTTCCTTGGGCTCAGTTCCTGGAGAGGAGGTTGCTGCTTCTAAGGGTCTGTGTGTTTTCAAGTCTCTGTTTCCAGAAGGGCCATGCAGGCAGCTGACCCTCCCCATAGCCAGGATGGTGGGAGGGAGAGCTGGATCTGGGCTGTGCTCCAACCCAGGCCTCAGTTGCACTTGCTCTAATTCTCTTTCTCCTTCTCTCCAGGGCTGAACCCATCAGAGCCACTGTCTTCCAGTACCCCATAGGATGGCCGCCGGTCCAGGAGCTGCCTCCATCCCTGAGGGCACCCCCACCCGGGGGGTGGCCCCTGCAGCCAAGAGTTCAGTGGGGTTGAGCCCCTTGCCCCTGCTCATCTCCTACCTGGTCAGCACTTATCTGTCACAATAAAGACAATTGCTCCTACTGGGGAGGCCGAGCCCTCTGCCTGTTATGTCCCCAGAGCCTCTGAGACTGTAGGTCTGGTCTCCCCGAGACTCAAAAGTCCCCCATACCAGCTGCAGCCCTGGTCCCAGTCTGTGCTGGGCAGCTTCACCCTCTACTTCACCCGCCCTCCTGGGATGTCTTGAGAAGACAGAGAAAACTTGCAGGTGTATATAAAGAAAGCCTCCCTTGGTTTGGCTGTGCTTCCCTAAACCGGTGTTCTCAGCTCCTCCTTTCAATCCTTTCCAGGGGACAGGCAGGGCTGGGATGAGACAAGATCTCCAGGGTGATCTGTCCTCTCAGCCCTTCTTCAACAGAGACCAGCAGAGGCTCAGTTCAGCCAGGCAAAGGGTGTGCCAGTGTGGCTCCCTCGTCGCCCAGGTGATAAGTGGCCCCAAGGCTGGGGAGAGGAGCACAAGGACTCCATCTGCCATCTCAGCCCTAGCAGAATTTGCAGCCCCTGCATCTTCCCATGCTGAGCTAGTGCCACAGGTTTGGGATGGCACATTTGGGGCAGGGACAGGAGCTGGGTCTCTGGCCTTGAGGGTGCAGAAGAATGGAGGGAGGAGGGGGCAGAAAGCGGGCCCTGGGTTTGGGAGAATAGCTTGGTCACACCTCCTGGCACTGACAGAGCTGAACTATGCCAGCTCCTCCACCCAAGGGCTGGCCCGGGGCCCTCCCAAGGTCTGCCAGGAGGAGTACCCAGGCCAATGGGTAGATCACACAGGCTGCTCAGGCCAGTTGAGGCCTCCTGGCCCCGGCTCTGTTCCCTTCCTAAGCGGGACTACAGCTCTGACTTCTGTGCTGGGGACCAGGATACCCTTGGTCACTGGCCTTTGCTAGGATGGGTTGGGAGCAGAAATTCAGGGGCCTCAGGGCCATCTCAGATGCCCCATCCTACCATGAGCTTGTGCGCTTCCTGAAAATCCCTGAGGAAAACCTGAGGCCAAATCTGTCCCTCTGAGCCTCAGGCTCCTCACCTGTGAAATGGGCAGGCTCAGGCCCTAGCAGGTACACGGGGGAGGAGGGCTAGTTTGGGTCAGAGGAAAGGACTCAAGAGACCCAGCCTTGTTTCCTTCTCTAGAGGAGCTTTCTGCCCCCACCTCCTCCACCCTGCCCATAGCTCTGGAAAACCTCAGGGATTAGAGCTGGGGTAGGCAGGTGCCCTCTCTGGGCACAGGGACCACAGCAGTGGCTAGGTCCTGGGGATCCTGTACAAGGCCCTCATTTCCCAGGAGCCACTGGCAGCAGGAAGAGTTAGCGCTACATACAGGCTAGGAAAGGGTACGGGCGTGGTGTAGGGGCTGGGTGCCGTCCTCGGGGCCACCACCAGGTTCTCCGCAGCCTAGCCACAGCTCCATGCAAGGGCCATGGGGTGAGAGGGGTGGGGGTCACCAGACGTCCAGGCCCCGAAATACACAGGATATTGGTCCAGAGCCAGCTGAGGGAGAAGGGCTGCAGGTGGTGGTGGGTGTGGAGTGGGCCCAGCACTGCACGTGCCAGACCAGGTGCCCAGGTGGCACTTATTTCATGCCGCTGCGCAGCACCTGGTTGGCTGCAATGAGCATGACGCTGATGATGAAGGCAATGGCGAAGGCGCAGATCAGACTCTTGCGGACACATGTCTGGCGGATCTGCTGGTTGGAGCAGGCTGCGGCCACCCACGGGGAGCACCAGGGAGCAGAGAGAAGGAGACCCAAAGCGGTAGAATCAGAAGCTGCCTACACTTTGGCACGCAGTCTCAACCCATGGGAACACAGGGACACAAAGCTTGGGACACACAGGAAACCATCCCCCACCCCCGCCAGCCCCACTCTGCAAACCCCTGGTATGTCCTTCTGCTCAAGTGGCTGAGCTGTCCCAGGGGCCTGTCACTCACTTTCCACATCCACAGGGCACTCCTCGGCTGTGCCCAGGTGACTCTCCTCCTCTGTCATGATGATGTTCTCGATGTCCTTCATGGACAGGTGCTCACAGAAGGTGTCGTAGAGCAGCCGCTTCAGCTCATCCACCGTCAGCTTCTGCATGTCGCACTTGGGGCAGGGGGAGGAACAGTGCTCTGGCCACCACCCCACCCAACACCCTGCAGTCACAAAAGCCCAGGGACGGTCCTCCAGATTCTGAAGGACTGGAAACTCTTGCTTCATTCCTATGGCATCCTTGACCGACACCTGCCTCTCCCAGTGAGCCCATGGCCCCCCCAGTAGAGAAGACATGCAGTGGACAGAAGCCTGGAGTGGTCATCTCCCCTTTACAAACCCCTAAGTCTCTCCAAAGCCCTGAGTCCCAACCAACCAGGACATACCTTCCAGAAGACAGTGTCAAAGTCAGTGCCATGGAACTTCTCTGGGATCCCTGAGGTAGAAAGCTTGGGTCCCAGGAGGGTCACAAACTCCTCAAAATCTACCTGGCCATCACCTAGAGTGGGCACAGGTCCAATCAGATTGTCAGGCTGAAACCTACCTGGGGCCGGCAGGGCAGTTCCTGCCCTCCTTTGGGACTTGGGATGGAGTCCTGGCATATCAGGCAAGTGCCCTTTTTAAGTCTTGATTCAACTTCAGGGGCACCTAACATGCCACGCTCTGGGCTAATGTGGAGACCACCAAGTGTGATGAGGCCCCACGGGGGAGGGTGGAGATGGAGAGCAGCAGGTGGCCCCAGAGTTCACTCAGTTTACACAAAACCATCCAGGGCTCCCCAGCACCCTGTTGCTGACCAGGGCGGGTACAGGGCCAGACATCGCCTCCACCATACAGGCAGGAAATGAGGCTCAGGAGGGGGTGACCTGCTCTCTTGAGGTCTCTGGTGGGATGAAGCAGAGAGGACTTGGCATTATTGGTCTTTCTCATGAATTTTTCCTTAATAAAATGTCAAGTGGTAAAAACAACTCAATGATTTTGTTTGGGATGGTGAAAGCTGGGGATATATTTATTATAAACTCTCCATTTTCCACATTTCTTAGTCTACAGAGTGAGATGAGAAGAGCAGTCTTTGAGCCCTGCATGTGGCTAGGGCTATCTGGTCTCGATTCTCCAGGGTGAGAAATGGGGCCAGGTCTGGCTACAACCTGCAACAGACTTTGGGGTGGCTTGGAGTAGGGGAAACAAGAGGCCCAGGGTAGACTAAGCCTCAGTGACTCAGGCCCCAGACCCTCCCCCATCCCCGGGGCCCAGGTGAAAGGGCCAGTGCTCACCATCCATGTCCAGCCGTTGGATGATGACCTCCAGCTCCACCTCATTGGGCATGTAGCCCAGAGAGCGCATGGCCGTACCCAGCTCCTGCTTGGAGATGAAGCCATTGCCATCACGGTCAAACACCTTGAAGGCCTCGCGGATCTCTGTGGGGGGAGCAGAGTAGTCTGGAACCTCAACCCTGTCCCCAACAGCCCCCTTGTCAGACCCCTGGGATCTAACCAACCCAGAATCTGCAGATCTGGTGAGAAACAGTCACAGGATGGCCCAAGGGTTCACTAGTGGTGCTGTATTCTGGGGTCTCTGGGCAGGCCGAGCCAGGCTGCAAAGGAGTACCTGGCCCTTTGCGGTGACTGTCCCCTGGAGTCTGAGCATGCCAGGCTCCCAGAGCCTCTCCTGATGAGCTCACGACGCCCCCGTGTGGTAGGTACAGGGAGGATGCCAGGCTTGCCAGGCCAGGGCTTCTCCTCTCATTCCCATCCCTTCCATCTCTCTCTCTCCTTCATCCCCACCTCCTGAGATTCCTCCAGAGACTCAGCTCCTTAACACTGGCCAGCCTCGCTAATGACAGCCACATGAGGCGGCAGCAGCTCCAGCTAATGGGCTCCCAGCTGGACACATACTGCCTTCCAGTTTTGGGGGAGACAGAGGTGGGGTGGAGGGGCCCCACCAGGCTCATGCTAGATCAGATGTGGGAGTCTCCTCCCCATTGCACAGAGGGAAAAACTGAGGCCCGAGAACCTGGGTCACTTAGTTGGGGAACAATGCACTTGCAGAGTATGACCTTGGACCGGCCTCAGTCTCACCCATAGCAAAATGGGTGGAATGATATTGAGGATGACATCCAGGAACCGTGAATGAGGTCCTAATTTCTCACCTTTGTTCCTCCTCTGCTTCTTTAATTATCACAGCCCCAAGAGGGCCCCTCTGGGGGACAAATCTCAGTCCACTAGCTCCAGTTCCCTGGAGGTCTTTCTTCACTTAGCAGCCTGCTGGTCTTTGCCTAAATTGTCCCGTGGGTGGGTTTTCAGCATGCAGAGTTGAACTCCTTAGAGACACAGGAATGCCCCCGTGCTCCCCACCTAGACACTGAGTCCTGAAGAGGCTGGGCAGCCAGCTTCTGGACAGGCTGATCCAGGACTTAATGCCGGCGTCTGTGAATCCTAAAACTGCTTTTAGAATCCTACACTTTGGGGTTATTCCTTGGTCTCTGGGGGACAGCTCAGCCTGTTGGTTCTACCACAGACCAGGAGCCATGGCTTACAGCCAGATAGTTTGAGCTGAGGTCAGAGTCTCACAAGTATGTCTGAGACAAACACAGGGAAGCCCCCCGAGTTGCCTAGGTACATTTCAAGGAAAGCTGAGAATCTGGAGCTAGGGAAATGGCTGAGCTGAGAGATTTGGGCCAGGCCCAGGGTTTCTGCAAACTTTAGACTCTGGAAACTCTAGGCCAACTCCCACCAAGCATTTTCCTAAGCCACCAAGGAAGCAGTGTGCTCCCCATGACTAGAGCTGTGTAACAGGTGTGGCTCCCACAAGGCTCACTCTGAAGAGCCTGGGAGTCCCTGGGTAGAGATGGAGGCAAATACGCACACACACAAACACACGTGGGTTTCTGGCCAGTGCCAACCCAGCCCTAGGCTCTGGCCATTCCAAGTACTGAACTCTAGCCCCCAGGAGCCCCTCCCAGGCCTGGACATCAGCACTGCTCTATCTCCAGGTTTGGAACATACAGCTCCTTTTACCTGGAACGCTCTTCCTCTCCCCATTGCCACCTCCCATGCAGCCCCAGTTCTCAGCCTGGACAGTCCATCTCCCTGATGCCCTCCCTGCCCCTGCCTGACCTTGGCTCTCCTCTGGGGCCCCACAGACCTGCTGTTCCCCCACACTGAATGGTGAACTATGACTGCTGTAAGAGCAGGGATCGGGGGATCTTATTCATGACTTATCCCCATGACCTGAGACAGGGCCTGTCACTCAAGCATAAACATTTGCTGGATGAATGACGAAACTGAATAACTGATGTGGGGACCCACCCACTGGGGCACACAGAGAAAGCAGCTGAGCAGAAGTTCACGCACCGTTCGACGTGAGGCCATCACTTGGAGCCTGCTAACAGTCAGCAATGGGAAGAAGCAGGAAGGGAGGCTGAGGAGGCTGCCTGTCCCCTTGCCCAGCCTTCAAAGGGCAGCACCCTCACCCACCCTGTGAGCCAGCCACAGAAATGGGAAATGGAGCAAAGGCAGAGGTGGAGGACCACCCTCGGGCTGCTGACCCAGGGACTTAATTGGGGCAGGGGGACCCAGCATCGGGTACCAAGTCTCTCCAAGTCTTTGGTCTCCCCCTCTCTACAGGCTTCTTTGGGCATCTCAGGGTGGGCTGGCAAAGCCCTGGACACTGAAAGTTGCAGAGGCAGCCCCCTTCATCCCTCCAGTGAGCTGAGTTCCCGGATGTTCCTTCCACCTTGCCAGAGCTGCCTCAACTGGAACCCAACTCCTTTCCCTGGAGACCCCGAGGAAAGGCACCACACAGGAGCAGAGGCAGTGGAAGGAAGGCAGGTGGACAAGAGGCTCTGAGGCAGCCCAGCAGGTCCCAGGGCCATGTCTCAGGCAGGACTGACCTCCCAAGGCCACTAGGTAAATCCACAGCCTTCCACCTCCCCACCCACGTGTCCCTTCACCCCCCCTTCACTGCACAACCAGTTCGTACCACAGTCCGGGAGCCCCGCAACCCCATTAAGCCCCTGTGCCCACACAGACCCAGTTCAGGCTCCACCTTCCTTGGTCAGGGAGGCATCCTGATATCACACAGACCCAGGTTCAAAACCCAACCTCCTCTACCCTGGCTGGGTGACCTTGAGTTTGCTCACCTGTACAATGGGACTTTCTGGGATGATTAAGCAAGAAAATCAAGCGTGTAAGTGCTGGCCAGGCCTGGCTATAAATCAGACTGTCCCAGATGGTAGAGCCAGAAGGAGAGGGAGAACTTGGGATGCCAGGCTGGTCTGCCCACTGCTGGGGCCAGGACCCAAGGCCTGGGCTTAGGTTCTGGCTCTGCTGTCCCGAGCCAGGTGACTTGGGCAAGGCACTTCCCTCTCAGAGCCTCAGGTGCCTGGTCTGTGAAATGGGGATGAGACTCCTGCCTGATGGCTGAGGCCTGGCCTCTGTGTGTGTAGGGGGTGGAATAAGGAGTAGGTGGTCCCTGAGAGGCATAGATGTCATGACTCCCAGTCTCTGTGTGCCATCAACATATCACAGCCCAGCACATTTCCCCAAAAGCCTTGCTCCCTTCCTGCCGCATGAGGCCAGGGTAAACCTGCTGTGCTCCATCTTGGCATGGGGATGCCTGGCTCAGGAATGGACTGGCAGGGCCACCAGGTTTCCAGGCTAACATTGTACCCCACCTGACACCCCAGGCTAACATCCCCCAGCCCCCTCCCTAACCTGTGGAGTTATGTCAGGGCCTGAGTCCCTAGCAGGCCCCAAAGGCCACCAGCGCTCTGTCAAGAGAGCCCGAGTCCAGAGAAGGGGCACGGAATGGAGGTCACTGGAAGGGGCAGTGTCCATCCTCTGCAGAGGCTGTCATTTCCGCGGCATTGGCCCTGCGCCCCACCTCTTCAGCCTCCCTGAGTTTTTGGCCTGTGCAGAGGCGGCTGCTGGGCTCAGGTTGCAGGGACCAGAGGCAGAAAGGAGACTACCCAGGCTCCTCCTCCCCAGAAGGTCTCCACTTGGCCATTCTCAATGCAGTCTTCACTGTCTTCCTGGACAACCCCAAAACCCTGCCCGGGTGGCCATCTCCCTACCTACATACTCTTTTCATCTGTCCCTGGCCAGAAAGGGTGATGGCTTGCAGCTATTTCATTCCCACCCTCAGGTGCTCAAGCCCACTGATGCCTTGGGACCCCTGGAGGCCTCTGCTGTGGGTGCCTGGCAGAACGGGGGTGCTTCGCAGCCATAGTGTGTCATACAGAGGGAATGTGACGGAGCTCTTCCCATTCCCTCAGTGGGGCTGCGTAGGCCCCAAGCCAGCTCTGCCCAGCCATGCCCCTACCCTATCAACTGCCATCCAGAGTTCCCTAGGGCCACAGGTTCCCAAGTGCCTCTGCCAGACCTAGCCCCCCAGCTTGCCTTCCTCACCCTACAGCCCCGCCTCACGGACACTACACACTCCAGGCTTATATTCCTCCAGCGTCCCTTCTTCAATCTCCCCTGCTGTGATGGTGGGACCCCTGACACGCTGCCAGGCCTTGTCCTGAGTACTTTCAATGTATCCTCTACCTGCAAGACCCCCGGGAGAGCAATACCAACCCCCTCCTTACATACAGGGAAACCAAGGCTGAGAGAAGCAAGAGATTGTCCAAGGTCACTCCATGAGCAGAGGGTGCAGAGATCTGAACTTAGCTTTATCTGGCTGGGAAGCCTTCATCTTAAGGCTGCCCTCCCCATCCCCTTTCCTCATCTTCCTCCCCATGCAGACTGACTGCCCCCTGGATTTCAGTGAAGGCAGACACAAACTGCAGTGTTTCATCCCAGTCTGCCTGGCTCCCTCTTCCTGGCACATGTGGCTCCCCCACGAAGGGCCTCCTCCCAGCCAAGGGCCTGGGTCTTATCCATACAGTCCCGGGAAAGGAGCACCAGTGGAGCACAAAAGAGGCAGCAGAAAAGGGATCGGTGCCAGGGATGGCCACTCTCTTTACCCTGCCCTGGCATTCAAGGACCCCTGCAAGGAGCCCAGGACCTTCTGAGGGCTTCTGAGGTTCCTGCAGCGGAGAAGGGGGTCAGTCAGTCTTTGTGTCTTCATCTGTAGATGCCCGCAGGCCAAGAGATGGCCCAGGGCCACCCTGGTATCTGCTGGTCCCATGCCCTCCACCCGATGGCTTCAGGGAGGTCCCTGCCCTTCAGGTGCCCCCTGCACTAGGGCCCCTCTGCTAGCCCAGGATAAGGGGGCGGGAGAGAAGCAGGGAGTGTGTTTGGTGTGATGGTGACTAACGCCGCTGGGCTCCTGCCAACATGTCGGCTAGGTGGCCCAAGGGGAGCCTGCAGCCTCCTTGCCCCTGGACTGCCCACCCTGTGGCCCACTCACCCCTGCATCCCAGCCCGCTCTCTGATTCTCTCAGAGCATGCACTCCAGGATTGAGGATCAGGGAAGGAGGGATCCAATGAGGCTTAGAGCTGGGGTGCCAGGGTCATGTTGGAGGTGCTTGGAGCAAGGGAAGGGAATGAGGTAGAAGCTGCCTGGGGTGTGGGGAAGCATGTGGCCCCCTGTTTGAGTGACCAGGAAGAAATGACCAGGATGAGGGTCTCTGGAGGGGGAAACTGGCAGGAGGTCTGGTTGGCCCAAGGCAGGAGGGAATGAAGATGGGAAAAAGATGGCCTATGCCCCTTCCCTTGCCTCTTGCCCCTCATCATGCCCCCTCCTTTTCCCAGGCCCTGGAGGAAGCTCTGAACCATGGGCTTTGGTCTAGAGAGGGTGGGACTTGGGCTTTGGGAATGAATGATAAGGCCAGGGCAGGGAAACCAGTGTCCCTCCATCTGTCCTGCCTGCACCAGAGCCCAGACCTGGCCTCCAAAGCTTTCCTGGAACCCAAGGGTTTGTGTGGGTTGTTGGTGAGGAGCAGGTGGCTCCTGGTCTTGTGGTGCAGTGAGTGTGGTGGTGTCTGCCTTCTCTGGATCTTCCCCAGACCCAGTCTGACTCCCCAAAGAGCTGCCCCATTCCAGCTTAGAGACCTGGAGGGAACTCCCTTCATGGCTTCCCACCACCATCCCTAACTGCACTGTTCCCTAGGTTGTACATTAATCGGCCGTAATGAGACCCCAGATCTGAGAGACCCTTCAACCCAAGATACCCAGAGAGGCTCATCCTTGAGGTGATCTCAGCCCCTCCCCCAGCAGCAGACAAGCAGATCCCAAGAGGCCAAGACTCCCATCAGCCAAGAGCCCCCAACTCCACTCCATATGGGGCACCAGGAGGTCTGGGGGAGGGGAATCATGAGCACCTCCCCCCACCTCAGCAGGGAAAGAGTTGGGCAGGCCCTAGGGGTCTTACTGCTCCCCAGAACACTCTTTCTGAGGACCCCAGCTGCGGTCGCCTGTTCTGATTTCTTCTAGACAGTTGCCTGAGGTCCCCATTCATGTCTGAGAGGCCGAGGGACTGGGGTAAGGGGCAGGTTTGGGTCCTTGCCTCTCTGCCTTTCCCTTCTAAGCTTGGCTATCGCGACTGAGCCGCCCAATCCGGCCACTTGTTGTCGCCACCGCCTCCCCGGCCGCCTTCCGGGCGCTCCGGGCTGGGGGGTCCCCGCAGAGCTGAGGGGAAGGGGCTACGGCCTCAGAAGGGGCTGGGGGAAGCCCCACAACCCGCAAGAGCAGGGCAGTCGCCCTCTCCCCTTCTTCGGCTGCCCAAGCAGATTGGATTTTTAAAGCGACACGAGCGGAATGTCAATGCGAGCGCAGAGCCACGGGCGGGCACCGCGGAGGGGATCGGGATGCGGGTACTCTGGCCCGGCCAGCGCGGGGGGCGTAGCTCGGACTCCCACCCCAGTCCACCGCGTTGCCGCACCGTCACCGCGGGCTGCGCGGCCCGCTGACCCTGCTGCGGGGCCCGGCAAGTTTCCGCAGCGCAGGGGACCACGCGGCCAGGGGCTGGGCCGCCCCTCCGCCTCGGCTACCCTCACCGCGGCGCCCAGGGGTGCGAACCGATCCTGCCTCCCGCGCAGCTGCTCGCTGGAGCGGTCCACTTGGTTGCCGGTACCTGCGGACAGCCCCCCGCCCCGCTGCGCCCCTAGCCGGCGCTTCACCTGGGCGCACAGGTAGGAGGGCCGGCGGGCAGGGGTCCCGACAGGGCACTCACTCACCCTCCAGCTCGTCCTCAGGGATGTCCACGGGGCGCTGCTCCGACAGCAGGTTGGGCACGGTGTAGATGCCCCGGTACATCAACGCCGCCGTCACCGGGTGGAACGGCATCTTGGAGGCTCCGCGCCCGCCCGCCCGCCGCAAACTTTGAGGCCGGGGCTCATGGGCCGCCCGTGGCCCCCGGGGCGGCTGGAGCGGGCGGGGCGCGCGGCTGCGGAGGACGGCGGCGCGAGGCTAGGGGCGCCCCTCCGGGGGCCTAACGCCCCCGCGCCCCGGGCCGCCGGGCCATGCCGCCCCCTCCCTCCTCGGGCTCCCAGCCGGGGCCCCGCAGGGGCGGCGGGGGCGGCGCCGCTCCGGCCTCTCGGCTCCGACCGCCGCGCGCTGCGCCCGCCGCGCCCGCTCCTCAGTTCCCCGCGCGCTCCGCGCTGTTCGCCGCTTGCTCGTCCGCTCGCCGGCGCGGCCGCCCGGCCAGCCGCTCCGGCTCTCGCCGCCTCTGCTGCTCGCTCGCTCGCTCGCTCTGTGCCGCGCTAGCTGCGCTCCCCGCCTCCCCCGCCCGCCGCCTGCCCGCCCCCTCCGCGCTCCCCCCTCCCGCCCCTGCCCGCCGCCGGCCCCTGAGCGGCCGCCCCAAGCCCTCCCGGGCTCCTTCCTCCCTTCGGCCCCGGATTCTCCTTTTCGTAGGTCTCCCTCAGATTTCTCGTCTCCCACACCTCACATTCGCAGCCACCAGGACCAGGATGGGGGTGAATTAGGATGGGGCCCTTCCTTCGAACCCCTTGACCCACCTTCCCCCACAGTCCCTGCCCCCCTCCCCCAGTAGCTGAGACCTGGAAACTGAGGACCAGAGATCCAGAAAGGTGAGGTTAGTCCCAGATGCCTGGTTCCTCAAGAAGTAGCCTGGTGTTGGTGCCAGGAGAAGCTCAAGGTAGGGAAACTGAGGCTGAGAGAAGGACGTTGACCAAGGTCATGGAATGTGGGCAGCAGGCAGGAGAAGGGGACAGGTCTGCGGCAGGTTTCCTTGTCCTGTGGCTGACACTAGCAGCTGACCTTGTTCCCCAGAATGGGACCCCAGTCCTAGATCCTTCCCAAGCTTCTGTCACTCCATTTGCAAATGGGGAGCCCTGGTCTGTCTCATGGCCTCAGGGAGGGACAGAGATGGGGCCTCAAGCCTGTGGGGTCTGGTGTGAGGGCCTGTGTGTTCAAGTGGCTGCAAGTCACACTTAATGTGCATGCAGGGCTTCCCTAGGCCCAGAGCATGTGTGGGGGTGGGGGTGGGGAGTGGCAAGTGTTTGAGGGAGCAGCATGTGCATGCGTATATCTTTTTTTCTCAAAGTGTACATGTGCCACCGAGTGTTCGTACATGTGTTTTCCATCTACGTGTAGATGGATGAGTGTTAGGAGTGTTGGTCACTTGTGTATGCCATGGTTGTGAACTAGCAGGGGAGGGGGAAGGGGCAAGAACCTATGGGCAGGTGGGGCCAGATGTGCAAGTCCTTGGGCTGGGAGAGGCCTGGGTGTATACAGGATGATGACCTTCTGACCTGGGTTGGCCTCAGTCTAGGTCTTATCTGTGAAGCCCCCAGCAGAATTATCTCCCTGCCCCCTTGGGTCCAATCAGCCAAAGGCCCCAGCAGGAAAGCTGATTGCCATAGCCCTGCCCGGCCCTGCCCTTCCCAAGCTGATTACATTTTTCTGCTTGTTTCTGCTTTTGTCGCTGATTAATCATATCCCTGTCTCCAGGCCTGGAGAGAGGGGACTCAGTAAGCCAGTCCTGGGCCTCAGCACTTCTTGGGCTACTCCAGTAGCACCCACAACCTGCAGAGGATCCAGGAAAGACCCCAGCTGTCCATCTATCTGTCTCCCCAGGCATATGGGGGGAGACCCTGTTAAGACCTGGGCTGGAGGTGTGAGAGGCCCCACAAGGTCCCCACCCAAAAGCTTTCCTCTCCCACCTGTTCCATTGTCTGACTGTCCACCTATACAACTGAATGCTTTGAGCTCCTTTGGAGTTTCTGATGCAGCAGAGATGGGAGGAAGAAAGAACTCAGACCTGGCTCCTCCCTCTGCTTCCTCTTTGCCATAGTACTTTAATCATGCCCCTTAACCTCCTAGGGCTTCAGTTTGCCCACCTGTGAAATGAGAGTGGCAATGCCACCCTCAGGCAGCAATGAGGATGAACAAATTAAAAAAATATGAGTGCCTTCCTCCATCTTTGGGAGTTTCTTATTAGAATGAACCCCCCCAGGAATATGAATTAATAATTATAGCATTGAGTATTGATTGAGAGCATGAGCTGCAGTAGTACTCAGTTTGCTGAGTGTCCAGGCTGCCCTGGCCCAGCCAGCCAGTTGGAAATTGGGCTGAGGGAGGGCTGAGGGGCTGGCAGGAAACTCAGCTCCCAGCAACTCCCTGGGAGGCTGCTGCAGAGCACGTTGGCACTCGCCTGATGGAGGGGCAGCTCCCCCTGAGTCCTCTGCAGCTCCTGGTTTTGCCACCCGGGTGGGGAATTTTCAAAAAGAAGGGACAGAAAAAGTCCCTGAGTGAATCAAGCACAAATCAAGTGAGCCTCCCGAGGATGGCCAGGCCCTGTGAGTCTGTCCTGAGGGAGGATCTGGATATCCATGGAGACATGAGCCTCCCCCCAGATTTTGGCCTTGGTCTGTCTGGTCTAAGGGGTCTGACTGTCTGTCTTGTGACCAGGGTACTCCCCGAGGCCATCTCCTTCCAGGCCAAAAGTGCATGGCTTGCTGGGGATTATAGTCTAACGCTGTGGTGCACCCCACTATTTGGGCCATCTTTGTCATCCCAGTCCCCTGGTGACTCAGTCCCTGTCCTCTCGCCTGATGCAAAGCCATAGCCCATGATGCTGGCTTTCCACACAGTGGGGGCTGCTGGTCAGAACCACACCTCCACATGCCACAGCTGTATCTGTTCCTCTTTCTGTCTCCTTGGGGAATACATGGGACACCCTCGGGCTGTGCATGGGAGTGTCCAGCCCCCATTATCATGCCTTGCCCCCGTTCACAGGCAAGGACATGTCTGCTGAGGGAGCCGAAAGGACCAGGTTGGGCTATACAGCCACAGGCAGAGCTGGGGGATTGGAGTCCAGGGCGGACACAGGGACTCCAGGGAGCAGGCTAGGTCATGCTGATCTCTCTGTGCTCTCCCAGGCTCAGCTGGAGTCCTGCTGCCTCTGGGAACCACTGTTGACCTCTTCAGCCCTCCACTGCTGAGTACCAAGGTTCATTGGGCAGACCCTGGGTGCCAGGCCCTACATCTCAGGCCAGAACTCAGAGGATAGAGCTGCTTCCACCTGGGCTCACAAAGCAAGGGTCAGAGGGCTGAGCAGTATCGCAAGACTGGAGTTCATGTGCTCTGCTGAAAGGTTGGGGGAGGTGTTTTTAGAGAGAATCATGGTGGCAGGATTTGAAAAGTCTCTGGATGAGGAGTCGGGGAGGCAGTGTCATGAGCAGTCAGAGCTCTTCATGGAGAAGCCAGAGCTTTCTGTGTGACCTCTCTGAGTCTCAGTTTACTCATCTATTCAATGGGAATGCATCTAGCCCTTGAATGAACAATAAGATCCTGCATGTAAAGTGCTCAGAACACAGAATCTGGTGGCTCTTATTACAAATCTGGGGATACCCGGGGAGAGGAACCAGGGTGGGCAAAAGCTCAGAAGTGTAGAGGACCACTCTTGAGCTCTGGAGGGCAGGGTCTGGGTCTGCATCTCCCGGGGTCTCCCATTTCTCATAGCTGGCACAGGGCTGAACTGAGCTTGGGAAGATGATCTGTTGAATGAATGAATGAGACAATGAATGGAATGATTGTTCACCCGCCCGCCCTGCGGCAGGGCAGTCTTGTCCTCTCCTCTACACGTCATGGGAGCAGATGGCATGATTTCAGGGTGTGAATTATGTCTGTCGCTCCCCCATCTGGGGAAGGTGCTGCCGCTGTCACACTGCACTCCCTGGGTGCCCACCAGAAGATGTGCAGGCCTTGGGCCTCCCCAAGAAGAGGCTCAATGGACCTCACCTACTAATCCTTGGCTCAGGGGGCTAGAGATAACAGGAAAGGCGATCCACTGAAACCTGTGACTCTGGGTTTCCCCAAGTGGCAGAAAGGCAAGGGGGAATTACAGTGTCCAGAGACCAAACTCCTTCCTCTCAGGACCGGCCTGGTCCTTATCCTCCCGAGACTGGGATTGTCCCCCCAGAACACTGGAACTTTCTCTCCTCAAGACCAGCACAGGCCCCTCCTAGACCTCTCATCCAACACCCGCATCCTCTTGCCACCTGTGTTCAGCACCAGGGAGAGCTCCCAGAAGAACCCAGGGTCCTTCAGGGGAAGATGATATAGTAGAGGGCCCCCGGACGGCCTGCCAAAGAGATCCATGAACCCACTGTCCAGAGGAGGAAATCAAAGTGGAGGGCGGGTAAGCACCAAGTCCAAGGTCATGCCTAGACCACTGACTGCAGCCCTGCCCGAACCAAGGGGCCTGCTGGGAGAGAAGGTACTGGGAGATGAGGAGGTACAGGTGGCAGGGAGGGGGTGTCCAGTGACAGCAGAGGCTCTGGCCTCTGCTCCTTGGCTGGAGAACAATATTGTTCCAAGAACCCGCTGGGGACAGTGTCTGGAGGTGAATAAAATATTCATCGTCCGGGCAAACTCATGCAATCACTTGATGAATAATGGAATTTATGAACTGGCAGATGCAGGCTGGGGCCGAGAGAGGGTGCAGTCCAGAATCTGGGGGTTCCTGCCTGCTCTGGTCCCTGCCTTTTTCTGGCCACCCTCTCTGAGCCCTCAGAGGCCCAGCTCCTAAAGGTGGTGAGAGTGTACAGAAGAGCAGGGAACAAAGTCCTTATTTGGAAACAGGGCAAAGAGGACAGGCCCTTAAAGTCCTTCTCCTTGAGAAGCAACTTGGGGATGGGAAAAGAGCACTGAAGGTAGAGTGATTGGGCTGAAGCCTGACTCCTGTCCCTAGCCTCGTGCCTTGAGTGTGGCACCTGTTCTGGCCTCAGTTTTCTCTCCTGTAAAATGGGGTTGATGCTGCCGTCATACAGCCTGCTGTACAGATCTGCCGAGATGATGAAGTTCACAGTGCCTGAGCCTGGTCCTTCTGAACCTCCCTCACTGACCTCTAGAATTCCCCCAAGCCTAGGAGTGATCTC